CCCCAAAACCCCAAAACCCCAAAACCCCTTTTTTCTAAATACATCTGAATAAGTCAAAATATAAAATTAAATCAAAATATTAAAATATTATAATCTCGCATTTTAGATCTAGTTATCAATCAAATTTATCTTAATTTTTGAATTTCTTATTTCTAAAAATCTTCCAAATTTTAATAAAATTCAGCTCTACTTGCTTTACTGTTACTTCTATTAGCAACTCTAATAATTCCTTAAGCTTCATTATTATCAATTAATATTTTCTATATCTAGAGGTTTTTTCTTGAATCAGTTTTTTAATCTTTGCCATTCTTGTTGGCTTAATTTTGAATGAGGTTGGTTGATGAATTTCTTGGAGCTTTGAATACTAATGTTGTTGTTTATGTAACATCACTTTTTTATTAGCGTAACCATTACCTTTTATCCTTTTCCTAAATAATATCATACAATGCATCAAAAGTATTGTATGCCAATTGATTATTACCTATTATTTCATTTTCACTTTCTATTGTTGAATGTTATGAATCATTCTAATTATCATCTCCTTAAAACATAGAATTCAATTTTTATCAACTTTCTTTAACTGTAAAATACAAAACAACTCCGAAATTTTTACACACACTTGATAATATTAGGAAGATTAATATCCATCCCAAATTCTTTCTTTTATCCTGAGTCATTTAACTTCCACCCAATTAGATAAATACTAAAAGACAAAGTAATATAACAAATTCATCAATGACTGTGGTTGTTTGTTAACTTTCACTATGGAATGGTTTTACAGTAATCAAATAAAGGATCATCATAATATTGCATATTGCAACAGCCAAGCATTAAATAAATGGACTATCATAAAGATATACTATGATTTCCACAATAATCAATCTTTAAAACATAAATATTGGATAATAGTATAATTGTAGGATACTTTTTTTTCTCAATTCTTCTGTCAGCATTCCCCAACTGTAAATCCAATTTTTTTTCTAAATTTTTTTCATATTTTTGTATATGACAGTCATCGTAATAAATGGCAAAAGCAAGGAAATAGCACCAAAAGCAAATACAGTTAAAGTAGCTATGATTTAGCTTTAGTTTCTGTACTTAATGAATTAAGTATTGATGACAACTTGCATGATTAATTCTATATACATTTCAACAAATGTCCGTAACGGGCCATTAAAGAAGAAAAATCCTATAATGTTTTCCCACAATGACATTTTTTTGCAAAGTTTATTTAGAATTACAGCAATGGGTAAAATAACCAATAAACCCAATACCCAAAGTGTTAATTTTTATCCAAAAGCAATTATAAAATAAGGAGAAATCTCATCATCTTGAAATTTCTATTAAAGTTTTTCATTGTCAATAGCTTCATTTACTTAATTTTCATCAATAATATAATCTCCAATATTAGGGATAAACTGATTAAATTCATCAATATCTCCTGATGCTACTTTCAAATAGTTGGAAAATAATTCTACATTTTCAGGGAAATCAATATTCATATACAATAGGAAGTTGAAAACTTAAAGAGCGTGCACTAATCCCCATAGAAATTGCATTGATGAGTTGAGCAGAATTTTCAATGCTATGTTGAAACTAAAAACTGATAAGAAAGTATATTTCAAAGACTGACCTCCATTTTATGCAGTTGATTATTCAACAGGGCTGAAATATATAAATGGGTACGGATTAACAGATGCGAAAGAATCTTAAGTCACAGAATTTTCAGCTAAATCAGTAACTTAGGAATAGTTTTTTAAAGAGATTTTAATATTCTCTGTTCCTTCCAAAGACGTTTTTAGGTCTTGTAATTTAATCTAAAATCTTTAAATAATTCTACCAGGCACTAAAGGATTTTTAAGATCTTCTATAATCCTCCAATCAAAAATATATTCAGATTTGGTTCCCTCAATTTTAATTTCTATATTAGCAAAAGATAATGCTGATGCTTCTGTTAGTTAAACACCTTCTGAAAACTCCACATAAATCAAATTTAATGGTGTTATAGCTCTAACAAACAATGTTGGTGATATTATTTCTTTGCAAGTAGTATTTGGAATTGGACAAGAATATCCATATTCAATTTAACAATCCTAGTTACATCCATCTCCATTTTTTAGATTACCATCATCACATTATTTAACTCTTAAAATTCCATCTCCACATATATCTTCGCATTCGAATTCCTCATTCGTGAAATATCCAACTATAGATTCACATGCAACGCAACTAAATGTTAAATCATCAAGAATATTTCCAGAATAGCACTAAATACAATCATTTGAAGTTGGTCCTACACATTTTCTGCAGGATGAATGACATATTTAACATTTTCCATAATGAATTCCATCAGATAATTCATTCTACCATTAAAAATACTTTCCATCAACACATTTTGGCATTCTACATTCATTTCTAACCAAGCTATACCCTACCTTGACCAATTATCCTTTCTCATTTAAATTGAAAATTTCTGTGCAATTATTGCATTGCAGAGTTGAAGGTCCATAGCATGAATTGCAACTAGCAGCACAAACTAATTACAAATATTAAATTAGTGATATTTTATTTACCTTTGCAAGTATAAGAAGCCTTATCATTGTAATAGCCGATAGGGCATTATTTGTAGCAACCTTAATTAAGATAAAAAAAGCCTTTTTAGCATCTCTGGCAATATTATAATGGGTCTGGTCCTGTGCATTAAATGCATTCTTTTGGGCAAGTTGAGCATTCCCAATCAATCTAATTATGGTATGTCCCAAGAATGCAAGATTCTAGACATTCATTATTATAAAAGTAATATCCGGTCTTGCAAGCTTCGCATGTATTATAGTCTTAGTCCCAGCATAAAAGGCATTTATAATAGCAAGCTATAGAAAGAATTAAGAATCTAAGTTATGAAATTAAGATTATATTATAAAAATTTAATTTACGCTTGACTACCAATTAGAAATTGACCACAGTTTCCCATAAAGCATCATCTATTCCAACGCACTCTATTTTATATGTTCCAATATTTGCTTCCGTAGTAAATCCACCAATTGTTCCGTTTGAAAAGTTTTTCGAAATAAAATAGGGAAGGGAATTATCTGATTCAGGAGTTCTAAAATACATCTAAAATTCTTCACCTTCTGGGTTTCTAAATATTTATGTTTTCACAAAGTCATAATAGAACCAAGTATTTGTTATTGCCAGTATTTTGTTAAGTTATTTGACAGGAACCAAAGGCCAATTTTAAATTACTTCTAGAGTGAAATTTATAAAGACAGACTGAGATATTTTATCTTCGAATTTGATTGAGATCGAATGATTTCCTCCCTGACTATTAGAAAATGGATGTGCATATATTTCCAAAGTCTTATTATTCCAGTAAAGCCAGGGTAGCGATGTATTATTGTATTCAGTATTATTAACTAGCAATGAGTAGTAGTTAGGCTCATTTTAAGGGTCTTTACTAAAACTAAAAAATGTTAAATTTTTAGTTGCTAGAAGTCTGAATGATACTTTAGGCTATGATTACAATATAACTATTTACTCTTTAGCCTTGACGTTCAGAGTGAAATTGTAGATATTTAATGCTCCGTCATATTGATCTTCAGCACTACACTTAAAAGTATAAATTCCAGCGAATCTATTATCCCTTGGTGTTTGACCAAAGAAAGTAATGTTTCCTGGCATGGTATTATTAACTTCTATTGTAATCCAATCTTTGTTTAAAGCTGTTGTATATACTTAGCAATCAATAATTACTTAGTCATTTTCATTATCTGTGAAATTTTGGTACCACAAAGTGTAAGAAAATGATTTTGTTATGTAAATTGATTCGATTGTCTAATTCACAATAGGTGAAAGGAAAGGGGAAAAATTTCTAGCAATTTTCAAATTGATAAAGGTTAGATTAGGAGTCAATCTAGAGAATTGATCAGATACATTAACTCTTATGTAATATTGGGACAAGTTTGAACCAGCAGGAGGCTGAGGAGGGTCTAGTATTGAAAATTCAACGCCTTGATTATCAGAAAAAGAAACAATAAACCAAGTTGCTGTAATAGTTGCATTAGTACTGCTTAGAAAGGACACATTAAAATAAGCTTCATCAAATTCTAAGTCATTGTCAAGATATATTTACCATGTCTGGTTATGATGTGCAAAAATTATGGCACTCTTCAAAAAATCTTTAGGATTTGGTGGATAATTCTTAATAACTTCAACCTAGAATTCGGTATAATTTGAATTTGAAGGACTCTCTGTTAGTGAGCCTGTTAATCTTAATTTGTAAATTTTAATGAAAGAAGCATCCCAAGGTGATATATTCAAGATCAAATTATCAATGTCTAATGACATAAATGAGGGCAAAGCAGTATTAGGCGATATCTTTAGGGTATATGTAATGGGAAAATTTCCACAATGGGTAAATTTAGACAGCATCATTGAGTAGTTATTGAAACCTACTGGAAATCCTCCAGAGATTGCAGTATTTGGCTCTCCTAATCTATCAGATATGTTGACAAATCCAGGATTTGAAACCATATAGCAGTCACCTGATTATGTTCTAAAGCTTGCAGTTCTATTATTGAATTGCATTACTCGAAAGTCCAAATCGAAGGAAGTATATGCATCATAGAGTACTTTAGTTATATCATATTCGAAGTAAATATCAAGATTTGACCAATGTGTACTTTAATCTCCATCAGGGCCATATGGCAATTACCTAGATGTAAATGCATTTGTTGGATCACGGTAGTATTAGCATGGTTCATCCCATTCAAAAGTTTAAAAATCTATGAATTTCCCAATACTCATTAAATTAGGTAAAGATCCTCGAAAAATTGCAATCCATAATACATTTCCGACTTCAAACATTATTTAAAGAGGAACTATTGCATTTGCTTGAATTTACATTTAAACGTATTTATATGTCATTGCAGTCTCATTCGTAATATTTGCTACTGCAACGTAGGAATTTTATCCAAAAGCTCCATTTAACAGATATATGAGATTTGTTGACTTTTATAAGTAAATTACGCAAGTAGATGGTGTCCAAGTAAGGTAATATTGTATAGATTAGAGCTTAATTCCGTCAGAAACTCTATGTTGAGTAAGATGAAGTTCTGCATAACCATCTTAAGAATTATGATTGTATGGAAGGCATGAGTATAAGTATTTATAGGTTAATAGCAAACTTGAAAGTTGATTTCTGTTATCCCAATCTCTTTACATCCAATTATTTGAGGCATAGAGTCTTCATCCCCATAAGTATGAGCCATCATCTTGTTAATGCTTTGAAATTGCCCAAAACCATTTATTATTCAAAGTGAACCCTAAACACCAGTAGATAAAGTTATTAGTTGTATCTACTTAAAACATTCTAGCTTCAAGTTCTTGGTAGGCTTGATAAGATTTGAAGAATACATAAGAATAATCATGCTTAATTCTAAGAATGAAAGCTGCCAATTACGGATAGTGATTTGGTGAATAATTCGTTCTTCCAGATATATACTAATCACCATTATCTGGATCAATCCACAGGTAATCAGCTTACAGAAACTTTTAGTAGATTCTTAAGCTAGACTAGTTAAAAAATCTGCCGTTATTTTCATGTTAGAAAAATATTAAAGTATCAGATTAAGTTGCTGAAAAGTAATTCTAATGAATGCTATAAATCAAATCTTTATAACCAAATTTACAAATGGCCCCAACGGTATCAAATTAGCTAACTTCTATAGTTAAATGAAATTTAAGTGCAATAAATCTATAGTAGACAGAGATGTATGAATTATAATAGGAGGTTTTATATGCTATGTCTGAACTTTTTGTTGCCCCACAAGTTAATAGAAAGTCACCTGTTTAGTCCATATCTGCGTATTTAAAATAAGATGAGGATTTCTAGAATAAAGCAGGAGTAACTTTTGAAGCACATTTCTCAGTTGATAATTCTTTCCCGTATTCTATCTAAGGATATATTTCAACAATAATAACTCCATCAACATAAATATTAGGCGTTCCAATAATAGAAAATCTGAACCTAAGTGAATATGTTCCTATATTCTTTACAGTTGGAGATAAATTTATTGTGACTGTTGATGATGTATTAGAAACGACTATAAAGCTAGGAATGTCAACCATTCTATCAATATTCCAAGTAAATGTAAGCTAATTTTGATTGCAATCCTTTGGCCAATTAAATGTGTATTCAACTGGATCAGTTTGGAGAGTAATTATTATATTCTCAAGAGGTTTATCAAATTGTGGTATTAAGCCAATACATCCAATGTATTTAGCAGACTAGAATTAAACTTCTGTAGGATATTGCTTACTCTCTAAATAGTACCTAAAATATGAAGCGAATCTGAATTCACCAGTCCAAATATTTTGGGTAACTTGATTTGAATAATCTTCATTTGGATTACTGTAAGTATAGGGAATTTCAACTTCTTGGAAGACCATGCACGATTCTGGGGAATCAAGATTTTTATCTTTAACATCAATGTAAAATGATTCAATATTAGGGGACACTAGAGCAATAATAAAATGAAATTTAGTATACAAATTCCAGTAGCGGTACTAAACAGTATTAATTTATCTTGGTATACTTTGAGAAAAAGTACTTGCCTCCTAACATTGTAATCAGAATGATAGAATCTAAAGAATTTAATACAATTAGATATTACCTCATTTATCGAATTACTTCCAAAGAGGTCTTGTTTTATTTGAATAAA